TCCCAACTTCCTGAGCACATTTGTTGGCAGCTATCCCCATCTAATTGAGAAGTCTAGCAATATCAGCGAGATGTGTCCTCCTGCCTGTCTTTGGTACAGACAGATCTGCTGCCTGTAGCTCGTATTCATGTTGAAGAATTAGCGTTGTTCGGCTGTGCTACGGCATCTTGCTGGGTGCCGTTCAGACCTGCTTTAATTCAGTTAACAAGCCAATTGAGACCACAGAATAGCAAGAAAAATAATAAAAGGCCTGAAACTTACTGGTGTTTAGCAATGTCCTTAGCTGTAATGTAGGCAGTGGGCTTTCATGTGAGAATAGCATATATTCAAGAAGCTAATAATGTTTGTATTTAAAAGATTATAGAGATTTTTGTCCTGATGAAATGGGCTTCAAGCTGTGCTGAATCCAATTGCTTGGTTGACACAGGCACTTAGGAATGATTAAAGCTTTAACAAGCCCACAGGCAGATTTTTTTTCCTTCTTCAAGAGAATTGTAATGAACTCAGGGGATACAAAAATCAAACACACAGAAAAGCCTTTCACTACTCTGCTAGGACATTGTAACGTTCGCATTTTTGTCTGACTTGCGAATTCCTCTGCTCAGGCTGAGAGGGACCACCCGGCTTGCGCTTGAGCTCGCTGAAGCGCTCAGAGCTGGGCTGCAGCTGGGAACATCTGGCTGCAGCGTGTCCCCAGCCCAGCTGCTGCCCCACCTTGCAGCGAGGACAGAGGGGCCGGTGATGCAGCAAAGCCGGGGAGAGCGCAGAGCAGGATCCACGCGCATTCCCGTAACGCCATGTTCCCGTGAGAGGAGACTGCAGTGCAGCAGGCAGGCGGGAGGGGAGGCCAATTCACCTGGCGAAACCAGTATCAGCTCGTGTCTCCAAGTAGCTGAGCACCAGGCTCTGTGATCCACATGCTGCTTTTCTGGTTTTAGCGCTTTTTATTTAAAGCGTATGGAATACCAGGGCAGATGAGACTGTTCAGGATCAGGTGCATGGAGGTAGCTGAGCTTCCTCCTACGCTGTTCTTCCATGCGCTGCCCCAGCCCCCAGGGAGAGCTGCCTCGCTCTCCGGGGGCTGCTTGGATTCCCCCTCGCTCTCAGGAGGGGCACTTGCCGCTTCCACCCTCTTTTCACGGCTGCCGTACGCACGGGCCCTGCGAGGGCAGACCACAGGCTCTTCCCCGCTCATTTATGCGGGGTTTGCTCTGTCCACAGAGATTTGCCCAACACCTGTTTTGAAATTAATAAAGCTGCAACAGAACTAATTGAATCAAGCGCATGGAGAAAACAAACTGTCTTTAAATGCATAAAGGTATTGATTTGCTATTTTGTTAGTGTTAATTTAGCCCCTACGCACGCGCTTCCATAAAGATCCATTTGAGTAAAGCCAAATTAAATATCAGAGAGTTGGCAGTGCCGGGGAACTCGCCTCCCAGACGAGGCCGGGGAGGTTGTGCCAATGTGCTGCTGTGTGCTGAAATCTGCCGCGCACTCCTCAGCCCAAAGCCTTTGCTGGACCCGAGGGGCCCGTACCCCGCTGCAGGGGCTCCGTCCCCGAGGCTGCTGTTTCCCTTGGGTTAGAACAGAGCAGCCTGGAGGGCGGCTTCACTAATGCCCTGGGATGAGCATTGCAGCTACCAGGGTTGCTCAGCTTTCCCGAATTTGCTGGCACCCCTGTTCAGCTCCGATTAGCACCTCCAGGTCAGTGCCTTTACAACCCTCTCCCATCTGAGGAATTTATTCTGCTCCCAGAGGAGCAGGTGATGGATGGGAGGAGGAGGAGGATTTTGATAAGCTGCTTATAGCCAGCTCCTTGCCTCCAGGATCAGCGCTGTGCCCCTAACTGTGCAACAGTTCCTCTCATCTCAATGATTACAGCAAATTGCCCCCAAACCAGTACTCCTGTGAGCGTTGGGAGTGGAGATGTCCCCTGCAGCTACAGGTTTGTGTCCTAGTGGCACCTGAAGAAAAACACGTTAGTCCTGAGCTGGGTTTTAGGTGGTAAAGAGGGGCTCTGGCAGAATTTAGGCCTGTGTGTCCCAATTTGCAATCCTGAATGGCTCCCGGCTCTGGCTGGTGCTCCCACTCCATGCGGGTGCCTCACCTGCGCAGGGCTGCGGTTGTGCAGCGTTGCGTTGCCTTGGGGTGCGTCCCCAGGCGGATTTGTCAGGGCTGGGCAATTCAACACCTGCCTGAAATCCAGGTGAGGTTTAGTAAGAAGCTGTTTTCTGCTGATAAGACTGAGGGACGGGTGGACTCAAAAAGCATCTGCAAACACAGCGAACAGCGGCAGGATCCGGCCATCTGCAAAGCGTGGTTTCGTTTGGTAGTTATTTCAATGCCTAGTCAGAAGAGGGATACCATTTACCTGTACTGACTGGCTAAGGCCTTCAGTCTGGAGTTAAAAAAAAAAAAGATTAAATTACGTGTATTTTCAATCCTCATTTGGAGTCACTGCAAGTCCTTTTATTCCCCTGGTCTATTTTACAGCACTGGTACAGCTTAAATATTAAAACCGGCATGTGCAGTGACAGTAAAAAAAATTAGACCAAGTTTTTTTGAAGCTCTCTAGCACCCAGGAAAGGTGGCAGATGTGATTACTTACAAATGTCGCACTGGTGGCGGGCTGGCAAAGAAAAATAGTGCTTTCCATTATTCGCTTTCAAAAACAAAAACTTTGCTTGCAATTGTATCACAAGGAGAAAGCAGACTTCATAGGTGGAACTACTTTTTCTGTAATGAGCATTTTTGTGGTTTGAAATGAACAAATGCTTGGTCAAAGGTAGTAGTGGTGGTGGCTTGGCAGGAGTGGAAGCATTATTCTATGCCTGCAAGTGGTGCCTTGGAAGTTATTCACCTGTTTGGGATACAGAAAGTCCCAACCTTGATAACTGCAAGGGCAGTGAGGTCTCCCAGGCCACCCCGGGGACCATGGCCTCGCTCACAGGGCAGGAGTTTTGCACCAGGAAGGACAGGACCATGGAGCTCCTCTTACCTGGGAGCCTTGTGAGCAGCCGGGTAGTGAAAGCATTTAATGTGTGGCAGGCAATGAAAAAATGCCTCTGTCCTGGGGGAGCAGGGGAGCGACTTGTAAAAGCCCCTGAAACCATCAACCGGCTGCACCGAGGGCCACGCACTTTCACAGACATCTTCAGAGACCTTCAGATGAGAGGAATGGGAAGAAATGTCTTTGTTCCTCCATTCCCCTGCCTGGAGGAAGTGAGATGGGGGAAAAAAAAGAGGTTTGGGTTTTTTTCTCTAATGACAACATTCCCCAGCAATAAGGCTAGATTTGTAACATCACCCAGTCTCCTGCAATATTACAGTATTTCAGCTATTAAATAAGCCAGAAATATTTTGAAATGTTCTTTGAACGTTCCTGTCACTAATTTAAAAGACAGCAAAGTAAAAACTTAATTTTCTCTCAAGTTACTTTTAAAGAAACAGCACTTCGGTGGGAAATGTTTTAATCTATGCATTTTTAGATTAATTTCCATTTTCCTCCATTTGACAAAAAGTAGATTAATTGGTTATAACCTCTTGTTTGAAAGTTTTGGAAAAATGGGCACTTTGGACTGTTTTCCTGTGGGCAATAGTCAAAACTAAGGAGAGAATTTGGGTGTTCAAGGACTCATTATGTTTGGAAAGAAACCGGAAAAAGCCAGGGTAGGTGGTTTGGAAACTGGTTGACTGGAAGGAGCCTGAGAGGAAGAAAAGTTTATGCAGAAAAGCAGTCCCACATTTTCAAGATGAGATCCACAAAAAGAGAGATTTGGTGTTACTAGAGAAGAAAATTCCCCATTACCATTTGCTGAAGTCTCCCTTTTCATTGCAGATTTCTGTGGTGCTGCCTGCTGTCCCAGCTGCTGCTGGGAACACCTCTCCAAAATGTTTGTGTGTTCAGCCCTTAGCATAACCATTTTTTTTTGTTTACCAATCTTCTTGGTTTTGGTGGAATTTTGTTTTAATTCGAGTAATTTCTGTGTATTATTTTCTATGCATTGTTTTTTGCCTATTAACTGCTGTAAATATTGCTGCTGAGATGCTCACCTACCTCTCCATTGGCAAGCCTCTGCTTTTCAGCACATGACAAACGCTTTCCTTTTCTTACTAACACACGCATTCGGGAGAAATTCTGTGAATTACGCAATGCAAAATCACCTCCTTCTCCAGTTTAGGGAATTCCTTAGGTGAGAGACGCAGCTGCTGAAGCAGACCCAGGAGGGGTTACCTGTGATGGAGGAGGAGAGCGCAGGTAAAAGGAAGGACTGCGAGGGGACTCGCTGGACAGTCCCCAGGGCGCTGGTTTTGCACAAGCAGCTGCGAGTGTGGGGCGCTCTGCCTCGCTTTGCGCCGGGTGAGGGCCGGGCACAATCTCCCTCCTCCTCCCCGCGCCGGTGGGCGATAGCTCACTCGGGCTGCCTCTCCGATGCTCGGGAGCAACCTGTTCCCTTTTAGGACACTGTGACTAGAGTGCTGTGATAGCCTCTCCCCCTCGGGATCATCTTCTGCTCTGTTCAGGGAACTGTCCTCGCCCCCTCCCCGAATGAAGGCTTGGCTCACCACGCGGCAGGGAGTGCTCCATTTATTCCGTGAGTCACAGCTGTTCAGGAGGACTTTCACATTTAGTTCACAACATAAAACAAATAAGCCAGGAAGATGAAACACGTTGGTGTCATTCCTCTTTTTCTTTCAGTTTTAGTACTGTTGACTATTCACTACAAACACGTGGGCTTGGTGTATAACTCCGTCCTTTACCAACAGGATCACCACGAAGATAGCCGCCCTTTTCTGGCAGTGTTGTCCTGTTGTGTTTATATTTGGACAAATTTCCCTAAGAGCTCACAGCTATTAGGACTGACACAAGATTTCTCTGAAAAGTGGCTCATTTGTCTGACTGCTCAACACATGGAACATATTCTGTGATTTACATTGCAGAATGAAGATATTTTCCTGCATCTCTTTCTATAAAGACACCCAGCAACATGCCGTGACAGGCCAAGAAAGGATAAGTGAAATCATTTTAATATAATATCAATGTATGAGAAACCACAAAAGAACGAAAACATTTTCTGGAAAATTCTGCATATGTATATATTGCATTGTAGAGTCTTACAGACAAATTTACATCAAATACATGATACATTTTAAAACACTGATTTGAAGAGGACAACAAATTAATTTTTCTCTTTCTGTACAGACATGGGGGTGTGATTGTTTTTTTCTGTTACTATAGTTTGCTGAGTTTTAGGAAGAGTACTCATATTCTTCAGCACTGCGGCGTCCAAAATCCATCCAGCCCATGTAGTCTCTGTCATTTATCCTGTGCGTAGGATCAATGCTCTGTACCCTGCTTCCCATAACTGAGAGCCTTCCAGTGGGACCTAAAGAAAAAGTGTTGGGGCGAGCAGAGAGTAAGTGGACACATTTTTCAGGTTCATCCATTTTCTGATCTTTTTGTACTCATTAGCAGATGTATGCGATAGTTGAAACTGTTTGACTTAATACAGACCAATTAACACAACATCATGTCACTGGGGAAAACATCACAGAAATGTTATGGGTAATGTCCTGAAAGTGGCTTGGGTTTTTATCATAAGCTAAACAGATCATTTTCTCTCTCCTGCTGCAGAAGCAGAATGCTCCTGGCTGCCAGGAAGGAATATGGATGCATTTCGCCTTTTCCCTTCCTGTTTCACTAGAAAGTCCAGACCATTTCTCACCCTTCCTATCGGGCCACATCTTTGCTTGATGCTACTGGGAGAGCTTGATGCTACTCTAGGGGCAAGATAACTCTGCCTAAGAGCAGGCTCAGGCCTGAGGCAGGACTCCACCACAGCCCCGTGTTGCTTAAGAGCCATATATTAGTATAGGAGCTCTTGCAGTGCAAACTCAGGAACAAGCCGGGTAGAGTTATGAATCCCAGGTTTTGTAGACAAGTCGGAATAGTCTTGAAATTGAGAAAGTTGTGTCTGGAATTTATAGCTAGAGATGACTATTGCTGGAATTATACAGGGCTTATTACTCTGTCAGTGATATTTTCATTGCTTATCCAAAGCTTTCATAATTCCTTTTACGGCAGGGTTAGATGTTGATCTCTGATCTTGCCTTAGCCCTTCTGTCATCCTTACTTAGGGTGTCAAAGAAATGCAAATTATTTCCAAGGAGAGTTTATGCTTTAAAAAATGGGACGTCTCTGTTTTGACATCATCACATTATGTAATTAAAAATGCAGGGAAAGTTAAATTACTTCTCACTGTGCTCCCTGAAAAAAAACAAAGTTGACATATGCCAATAATTAGATTGAGCTTAAGTCTTGAGTGAGGAAGAAACAGATTCAATATATTAGTATTCGATGCAGACTGAGGCTTGTGCAGTACTTGAACTGATCAAAAAAGGAAAAGAAGCCCAAATCAAACCCCACAAATCCAAATCCACACAATTGTGTTGCTTACGGTTTCTTGTGTTTTGAAGGAACACTTGGTGACTTTGTGCTTTTACATTTCAAAATTTTCCTCATGTAATGGTTTATATAACAAATATGATCCATTAAAAACAAAAACAACTGCATTGTTTCATTAGTGGTTACAGAAGGATAGAAGAGTTAAAGGTATCAAAAAAAGAAACCAGCCATATTTCAGATTTTTACCTAAAACAAAATGGCAAAAAAATTAATTATCTCTAGACAAGAATTTTTGTCTACCATTAAATGCTCAAACCCCATGAAATTCACATTCATAATTCAAAATACGTAATTAAGTTGATGTGAATGGCTTCTTGGCACTATAATGAGCCAGGGCTAGACAGTGCAGAACCATCACTCAGACATTGGTATTCAAGAGACTTCTGAGCCTGCAGTAACCTGTGGGCTGTAATGGCTCCCCTGGTGCCATTATGGTCTGGCCTGGCAAGGGTTCCTTAGAGGATAGTAAATGTGCATGTCACTGACTCAACAGCTACAGTGTCTCTTCTACACAGTGCCAGATTCATGCTGAAAGCCTGCGGATGAAGTTAATTGAAAGCTAGGTGTCACAAACAGTAAAATGAATTTCTTAACAGCACCTAAATTGCCTTGCCTCAAACCACCGGAGACGTCCTGTGGATACTGCAGAATCAACGTACAGCGAACAGATTCAAAACTGTAGCAGTCTGGCTACGAGGCTGCCATCCAGCCCTAACCTCTTGAGAGTATTTAACTCTCTCACTGGTTTAACTGGAAATATTGGCCAAAATCAGCCTATTCATCACAAGGGCAAATGCCATTAGTGATGACTGCTAAAACTAGCAAATGCCCAGGCTCTCTTTCTCCCTAGACAGAATTTTCTAGTGACTATTATGGTTTGGACGGGTTAAAAGTGACTAATACAGTAGATGTGAGTGTTCTGCAGAGATTTCTGAAATGTTGCCGACAACCTTTATGTTAAATGAGAATACAATGTTTTGATGAGAACCCTGTATATGTTGTTATAAATTAAGTAAATACTGCTTTGTCCGTGTGAATCTTCTCTTCTGTAAATAGCAACAGCACCTACAAACCAGAGTCCAACTAGTCTAGTCATGTCACAAAAATCACATCATCTGCCAACAGTCACGTTATAGGGTTAATTATGTATGCCAATTAACATGTATGCAGGAAATTCTCCCTCATATTAATACTTACAAAAAAGACATCTTAAAGTGTTGTGGTTTTTTTTCATCTGGTTAAGCTCTTTGGAAACATCAACCAGATATTTAAGAGAATATAATGGCTACATAAACTAGAATGAGACGTTTGGTTTCCATGTAGCTGGGTGATAATGACTACACTGGGGAAAGGTAATGAGGATTCTGCTTTGTAGACTCCTGCAATAACATTCTTATTCGGTACCAGCTTTAACTGTAGCACTGAATTGTGGAATTTCATACCTGAATTCTCTTTTCATTAGATTATGTGAACTGTTAAAAGAAGTTCCTTACTGGATATTGTGCAAATTGATGACATGAGATGAAGTCTCTCAGGCTGTATTAAAAGTGGTTCTTCTGTTGTTTCTGATTTGGTCTTACACAGATGAACGTGTATGGCTGCATATGTAATGCATAAAATACATATGGCATCTCTTAATTGCAGACTGCCATCAAAAATAAGAATAGGATTCTGCCCAGCCTCAGCAGCAAGGCTCTCAGGAGGGGAAGACTGAATGATGTCCATAAGGTTGTGTGGAGACACAGGAGAGGAGAAAGCTCTTACATAAAGTGAATTTTATCCTAAGCACAGTCTGGGACTGGGAGTGAATTAATTCCTCAATATCTATATGTCCATGTAACCCTAATTACTGCCTTCCCCTCAAGCCCTCTTTGCTTCTCAGATGTCCTCTTTCCTGATGATATTGATGAGTAGATGAATCAGAGTGAAGCTATCACAAATAAACATTTATGTAGTGGCTTTTGCTGAGGCTGGTAGTCAAAAGCCCACAGTAATTAGGCTGCCCAAGGTGTTACTCTACTCAAGATACAAAGGAATATGGAGATGAGACAGTTCAAAAGGAAAAAAATATTGGGGGGGGAGTTTCAGTCGTCAGTGATTTTGATCCTTGGTTTTTAATGGTAGCAGAGACAGCATGCGTTTGTGTCTATGTAAAACATACATGGTAAGATGTCAAGAGAGACAGCTTTACTCTTTCTCGCTCATGTATACAATACAATCGTTTCCTCAAGTGACTAATAAATAACCTGATAAGAATGAAGCCCTTTAATTCCACTAGTCTACTGGTGCTTCATGCCCTTGTTACAAACGCAGTGCCATCCAAGTTTTAAGTAACTGCAAGATGGAGTTCCCAGGCTGCCTGAGACTGAAAACCTAACAGGAATCAACATGTTTTGAAGCAAATGTGCTTTTACTTATCACTGCTTTTGGTTAGTGTGCTCGTAAGTGTGAGTTCTCATCTTTAAAAAGCTTTCACACTTGTGTAACTTCCGCTGGGAAACAGATGGAAAATCCAATACTCAGAAGATTTCCCTGGTACGGGTATTTCTGGCTGAGGTGAGGTTAGCCATTTCATCTGTATTTAGCCTCAGAAAAGTTTCCCTGCTCTTCTAACTTAAAAAAAGGGAGGGAGGAGGTTAACTAAATGAAAAAGTTCGAAGAAAATGCAATTACTGTATTTTATCTGAGATACAACATGGTGAAAATAATACCAAAATAATTATAAGGCTACAAAAATAGTAAGTTAAAAATAAAAGCTGAACTATGACCTGACAGGTAGGTTACATTTTCTTCAGTTAGCTGTACACAGCTCTCAGTCAGTGGCTGCTACGTGCAAATCTTTTTTTTGGAGGAGTTTTACACTAAATAAGAAAATGCTGTCTACTTCAGGAATAACCAGGCAAAATCTACATCCTACCTTCTCCGGGAATTCATGCTAGATGATGATAGGGTTATCTTATCATCTAGGTATCCCTGCAGGAAATTCCACTGACACAGAAGTAGCACAGTAACTAGGCTATAACCAGTACCTTTTCTGGCTTGCTGGAGATACTTGGCCAACAAAGCGCCGATGTTAGCTCTCTGGTCAATGCTTCCATCCAGCCGCGACACAGATTTCAGGGGGCCAGCAGACGAAGGGGCGCGGACGTGCCGGTGATACTCTGTCAGGCTCTGCTCAAGCTCAGCAGCCAGTGGATTCCCATTGTGCGAGCCCACAGTTTGCTGTCCGAAAGAGCTCACTGAGAGCACAGCAAGGACCACGCAGATACATATACTGCTGTACATTGCTAGAGAGAAAAGGAATGACAGGCTGGTGAAATGAACAGATTTACTGCACTGTAAGTTGTCCCTGCCCCCATCTTCTATTGGGGGTGCTGGTTTCTGAGCAAACTAGGGTTGTGGTGATGTTGTTTTTTTTTTTTAATGCAGGTAACTGTGGGATCTCTCCGAAGTTGTAAAACATGTATGTGACTAGTTAAATAATCCCTTGATAAGAGGAAGATACACTGGAAGGAATAAAATTAATTCACTGTAGAATGTGCTATGTCTCCCTGATCTACTCACTTCTTACTTGCTTTTGTTTGTTTGGAAGCTGTATTTAATTAAATCACAGAGATGAATCCATCTCTGTGAAAAATCTCAGGATTCAAACATTTCAGTATTTTGCTGGTGCACTAAAACATGCTGTTGCTACAAAAGCCTTTATTCTGTCAACACTTTGTTGGTTTGAACTTTAGGGTTCAAGACATTTCATCTCATCATACTCAAAGAAAAAACAAAAACTTGTCCCAAGCAAAGAAACAACAAAATCAAACACTCCCCCAAGCATTTGACCTGGTGGCTGAGGTGGTAAAACCTATTTAGTTAAAAGCTGTAAGAAATAACGTGCAACTTAACAATAATCTTCTTCATATAAAACAGAGAATTCAGATGTAGCAAATTTTTTACTGTTTCCTTAAGCAAGTACTAGACAAAACAATGCTGCTTTACTAGATCGTTTGATCCTAGAAGCTGAAATAGCACTTTTCTGGCAACAGAGAAATTACTCTCAGTTATTAGGAGAAACAAGCTACCTAGTACTTAATGCTATAGGAGTAATTGCCATTAATGAATATACACGAATTAACTATATGAGAATTTTTGAATAATCTTTTTTCAAAAGTATACTGAACATAACCTTTTAACTTTGAAAGAGGAGAAAATTAAGTTTTTTTCCCACCAAATACACTAGATTGAAAACACTGGCAATGCATAAAATATGGGGGTTTTTTTAGTATTATTAAGAGATGAATGAAAAATGTCAAAATGCCATTCCAGCATGGGTATTAGCGATGTATCCATGTAAGTTTCGGTACTTAGAAACCGAAGGTGCGTTGCGTCCTTTCCACAGAGATACCTTTTTCTTTTAACCGACCCGACTCCTGTTATTCTTTACGCATATATACGTTCCTGTAACTACTAATAGACAGAGTCCCCGGCCCCGCTTTCTGTCGCAGCCCCCCCGGCGGCGCTCATCGCCCACCGCAGACCCCGGCCCCGCGCTGGGGACCC